ATCCAGTTACCCATAACTGTTGTAATTATAATTATAATAATAATAATTATTATTATTAATACTATTTTTTTTACTGGATAATCAAGTGCCTAGAAATAGCAGGAGTCAGTAGAAACATCAGAAGCTTTGTGCAAAGATTAACGGCACAAGGGAAGACACAGTTGCTGGTCAATGGCGGTAGACTGGAAGAGGAACTTCAAGAGAGGAATCTTTCAAGGAGACTCACTGTCACCACTACTGTTTGTCATTGCACTGATTCCTCTGTCGACAATACTGAACAAATTGGCCATGACTATCAAACATCAAAAACATCTGCCAGGTTATCCCACCTCCTTTACATGAACGATCTGAAGCTGTATGGAAAAACACCATCTTAAATGGAATCGTTGCTCAACACTGTCCGAATATACAGCCAAGATATTGCAATGAAGTTTGGACTCGTGTGACACCCTTACCATCAACAGGGGAAAAATAGTGAAAACTGAAGGAATCAAGAAGCCCAAAGGAAATAACATCAAGAGTCGGGATGAAGAAGATCACTGCAAATACCTGGGCATCCTTCAAGCTGACAACATCAGGCACACTGAAGTCAAGAAGAAGGTTCATAGTGAATACATTATGAGAGTGAAGAAGATCTTAAAAGTCCAAACTCAGTGGAGGAAATACTGTCAGGGTGATTAACACCTGGGCAATTCCAGCATTAGATATATAGCTGGGACTGGACTCAAGCTGAACTAAAAGCCATGGATAGGAAGACCAGAAAAATAATGACAATAAATCATGCCCTTCATCCATGCAGCGATGCTGACAGATTCTACTTACCAAGGAGCATAGGTGGGTGTGGAATGAAGCAAGTACACCAGGCAGTTGGAGAAAGAAAAAGGGCATTGGAAGAATATGTGAAGGACAGTGAAGAAGATGCACTGAAGCTAGTACATCATGAAGGCTTACTGAATACTTTATATAGAATTGCGATTAGTTAATTTTAATATGATATTTATATTTTTATTGTCTTTTTACTGTTTTGGATTTTAATTGAGAGCTGCCCACAGTCACCCGCTGGGCAAGATGGGCAGCATATAAATTTAATAAATAAAATAAAAGACCAAAAAGACCAAACTGGCCTACAAGAAAGACCAAACGAAGAATAGAAAAGAGACGTGGCAAGGCAAAGTATTACATGGCCAGCACAGAAAAAGAAACTAGCAGGCAAAGCAGATAACAAGACCTGGCAATTGCTAAGAGCAGAAAAGGTAAAGAAAGAGACAGAGGGGCTAATTCTGGCTGCACAAGACCAAGCCTGAAGAACAAACGCATATGTAGCTAGAATTGAGAAGACAGCAACAGACAGCAAATGCCGCCTCTGCAAAGAAGCTGTGGACCACCTAGTCAGCTGCTGCAAGAAGATCACACAGACTGACTACAAGCAACGGCATGACAAAGTAGGAACAAGGGTGCATTGGAATCTCTGCAAGAAATACCATTTGCCTGCAAGCAAGAACTGGTGAGACCACAAAAAAGATAAAGTAATAGAAAATGAAGAAGCTAAAGTG